GTTTTCTAGGTGAAACTAAAATAAAGCCGTGAAGGCTTTATGCCTAAAGTGGACAATATCTGTGGAGATACTAGGGGTACCGTCCTGCTTGGCATTGAGATGGTTCGACTCACTTTAGGTGAACTTAATATATTTCACCCCTAACAATTTTCATTCTTACATTTATCGTAAGTGTAGTAACTATCAATTATTTTAAGTTTTTCTTAACCATGATTGTACATTCTTGAGATTCGTCTCGTTCGAATTCGACGTAAATTATAATGTTAGTTTTTGTATAAACCATAACTATTTGTTATTCTTTTGAGTTTGTTTTCTAATCATAATGGCATGACATCGAGATTTCTTTCCTTTGAAATTTGATACGTTCACATACTCCTAATACTAGAGTCACTTTAAAATTATTGAATCTTTTACAATTTGAATTTGAATTTCAACTTATACCATATAATAATGAGTACAAAGGTTGTCTAAAAACCGTTTAAACTTATGAGTTATTAATTAGCATTTAAGAATTAGAAACACTTTTTCGTCTGTTCCATTAGTTTCATGTTTTTAATGTCTCATAGATCCTACAAATAGCCACAAAGATTAATTAACTATAGAATTAATGTTGTTTATCATCACTCTAGTTCAAATTCTAAATTTTTTCTATCTAAATTCATATCGATGTTTCTTTCTAAATATTTAATTGTTATCCAAATCGTTATAAACATTGCAATTACGAACAAATAACATGTTTAATATAAGTTAAACACATAATAAATTCATAAAAAAGCATGATTTTCTAAAAAATATATTGGTTGACTTATAACTTGAAAAAAAATATATTTTTCCAAATATCCATCACGTGAGTCTAATATGTAGGTATGTATGTGTAGGACTCTCGAACATCGAAAAAATGATGTGACATATCAAGAAATATATGACATATGTAATTAAAATTAAAAGAAAAAAAGGACGAAAGAGATTCAAATTAAAGACAAATATTCAAATTATTACCTTTCTAAAAAACAAAATAAAAATAAAAAGGGGATCTTTGGAGGTTCACCAAGTGAAAAATAGAAGAAAAAGAAAAGAAATAATAATAAAAATAAAATTTCTGTTTTTTTTAAATGGTTTTTGACAGTACAATCAGACAAATACACCTCAGAGGTAAAGGGCTTTTGCTTCTTAGAATCTTTTTGCGATTAGCTTTGACAGAAGCTTTCAAAGATCTTCCTGCAATTCCAATTTTGATTTTTAATGTTTTTTCTTTTCTTTTTTAATTTTATTATTATTTTGAGTAATATCATCACCTGCAGGGCATCTAAGCCGCTCACCCGTGCAATCTAATTGGATTAGACCTCACACTGGTCCCCACCCCCTGCCATGTTTGCGTGACTGCCCATTAACAATTGAAATATGTTATATTTCAAAAAATAATAATAATAACAATAATTAAATATATTAATTTTGAAGGCAAAATATATATTTTATCACGAATATTTCTGTTTTAATTTAGTCCCTATTTTATCACGAATTATTTGATGATAAAAAAAAAGGTTAAATTATTGTAGCTAAATCGAGTATAGCGACTAAGGTAAACTATTTCGTCTTTTATTTTTTGTTTTTAAAACTAAGTTTAGAAATTATTTCATGTCTTGCAATTTGTTTTATTATATAGTTTATAATCATTTTTAAAATCTATGCCTCGACGACAAATTTTTTTTTAATACTTGTTTTTATTTTTTAAATTTGATTAAGAATTCAAACATTTTTTTAATAGAGGCAAATTATTAATAAAATTATACATAAAATAAAATAGTTATCATACTATACTTCAGTAACATAACTTAAACTTTTTCAATCACAAAGTTTATTAAACTAATAATTTAATTCATAAATTATTTTACTATTTCCCCTTTTAAAAGAATTATTAAAGTTTACAATCTCACAGGAAATGTCATTATCCAACCACTGAACCATTTTAAAATTAAATAGTTAAGAAAATATTTATATTTCTCTTTATATGGAGACAACATGCCCTCATTGTTTGTTTGTTGGGTGAAATGCTAACTGAAATTCAAAATGGAATCCTCAATCAATTTTCCTTTCTCATTCTCATCATTTATAACTAAATAAAATCTAAATATTTTGTCTCGTTGTCTTTGTTTTCTTCTCTCTCTTTTAAACATATTAATATACAAAATAACACAAAAAAATAAATAAAATTATAACACAATTTTAAACACATTTTTCTTATAAGTTTTGGATTCAAATCTTCGTCAAACTAAGTATAGTTTAATTGGTTAAGACATTTATTTCTGATTAAAATGTTGTAAGTTCAAGTTCTCGCTTCATATATTGTACTAAAAAAATCTTTTTTATTTTGTTTTGATGTATTATTAAAAAATAATCAATATTTAATTAAATTCGTTATATTTTGTAATAACGGTGTAATGAATACTCTCTCTTCGTCTCTTCCTTTGGAGAAATCCGTTTTGAACATGTCTGGAGAAGGGCAGATTTTATAACTCAACATCCAGCCTCAAGAGCCATTTCCTTGAGCTCCCCTTTGGCTCTTGCAGGAGGCCATAAGAGAGTTTGTCCAAAATGTAGCTCATGTGGCACCTTTTATTATTTAATGAAGTCTCTATCTTCTAAAAAAAATTATAAAAAACTATGTAATGAATGTATGTTGATAGTGTAGGTTTGATATTTGGTTTGTAAAAAGATGCAAACAAAGTCTCACATTGATTGATTAAGAAAGAGAATAATCCATTATATATATATATATATGAGAACAATTATCTCCATTGATATATGAGAAGTAAAGTCGTGAGAATTATGTCCAAAACAGATTGCATAACTCAAATGGAAGGGAGATATTAGTTTTATTCTTTCTCATATGAGATATTTGAAATTTCAAAATGTTGGTATAGGTTTAGGACACTAAAAGAGTGATTGAGATACTTTTAATTTTTAAAAGAGAAAATAAGCATGATCAAATGATTAAAATACATATTTATCTTCATATTATTTGAGAATTATATATTATATTAAAAATAAATAAATAAGTAAATAAAATAAAATAAACTTCTAGACTTGTATGCCTGGAATCACCTTTGCATTCAAAACTGAGCCAAAGAGTTAGATGGATCAATAGGAAAATAGTGAGGTTCATAAATATAATAAATAAACTTAAATAATTTTCTTTTTCTTTTTCAGTTCAAGTCAAATACGCATTTAAAAGATTGATAGAGAACGTTCTTAAATGAAATCCAGAAAAAAAGGAAAAAAAAGTTATTATATATATATATATATTTTTTTTAAATACGACCAATGTATTCATAAAAGAGTAGATGCTCCGAATTATAATTAAAATCGTCGATTTATTTTCTATGGAGGATTATTTTTTTGTTAGAACTTATACTTTTATATATGTCTTCATTTGAATTTGTAAACTAGAAATGAGTTTAGAAAATTTTAATTTTTTTTTGGTAGAATAGAAAATTTTAACATGAGATTGTTTTTAGGAGGTAAGTGATGTATTAACTAACTAATCTTAATAAGTTCCAAAAAAAATTATCTAAATTTCAGTAAAAACTTTTTTATTTTTATCATTAACTTTTGGTTGAATTGAATTGATGCTTAAACTATAGTTAACGTTTTTTCACAGAGATTTTAAATTTTAAATTTCAAATATACAATAATTAAAATAAAAGATCATTTAAAATGAAAAAAATTGAAATCCTTTAAACGTACAGTGATTTGATCAAAATCATGATATTATGTCCAGGGCAGTTATTCATTAGACAAATCTCCACCATTGATCTTCCCCCAATTTAGTTGATACCCAATGAGAATCCGCCACGTAGCCTACTTACGGTGCACGTTTGAGATCCTCACCCTCACTCATACGTCACCGAGACATGTGGGCCCAGCCTGTCCTCCATGGTAATGACCAAACGTCAATCCACTGTTAACAATTCCTCTCTCTCTCCTTACACACGAAAGACATTTTTCGTTAGTTAACGGCCATGATCAGACGGCGTTAGTTTCCTCCTCTATATAAATAGGTGGCTCCCGAATTGAACTCCTCTGTTGTCTGTAATTTTCCGATATTTGGGCTCTCTCTAACGTAAAACCCGGAACTATAATATCCGAAACTTTCCCTTTCTGAACAAATTTTTTTTCTCTTTTTTTTTTAATTAGGATTTTTGAATTCGGACCGCCGTCGCGCCGGTGGGCGGCGGCGATTTTGCCGGCGAGCGTTCGTTTCGGTTTTTAATTGCATTTTGATTCTGCTGATTGTTTGGAGGTTTTGGCAGAGAATCAGCGAGTGAGAGGAGAGAATGCTTGTTTGTTTGTCAGTGTAACTGCAGAAATTAAGGCGCGAAGATGCTCGGCGATATTCTAGGGATTTTGATTGCCATTGCCGATGGAGAGAGTGAGTGAATGAGTGAGGCTTTCTCCGTCCGCACTGGAATCTCTGCTCGAAACGGAAAATTTGAGGAAAAACTGGTTGGAATTCGTGGTGAAGAAGATTTTTCTCGGCAGCCAAACAGTGCGGCTGATTCCAGTTCGGTTTTGCTGCATAAGCTTCGCTGAGCAACTTGCGAGGTAAGATTTTCGATACCTTTACCATTTTGTTCAACTTGATCGTCTTTCTAAGCAAGCAAACAGAGCATTACTTTCTCAGAGAATCTTCTCCTTTTTCCTGCTTATTTTTTCAAAATCCGAGTTCAATTTCTAAGAGTCCAGAACGGTTCAAATTCAAATCCTTTCTCAATCCATCCTTTGCAAGTATTTTCTGAATAGAGATTCATTCGCTCTCAACTCGTTCGACATTTCACCTCTCGGAAGTGTTCGACATTTGAATCAAATCATTCGATTGAATCCGTCTCCGAGACGTTAATTCCTATAGCCCTAGGTCTCGCTAGGTAATCAATTTCTGCGTTCCTTGGTGGTGGAGATGAATAAATTAGGTTGGTGCTTAGTCTGTGGTGAGGATGATGAATAAAGAGAGGGGCGAGCAGCAGGAAAGTCTGGAAAAGAGAATTTAATTAGGTAGGGGGCCTAAGATAGACAAAGTACGTAAATCACAGTTGGCTTTTGCTTCGATAAGTCGTTTTCGAATATTAAAGATTGAATTAAATTAGATGGCCAAAAGAAAAGAAAAACATCAACGTCATTCCTCTGCTTCTTCTTCTATGTCTCAGCGTAATCCCTCCATATTCATTGTCGCTCTGTCGTCTCACCCACAGCTATCACTCTGAAACGATTCATTTTCTCTTTCTTTTTTCTTTCGTTGTTCTCTGGTTCTGAATCTCTGCTGTCGTTTAATTAATGCGATTTCTCTCTCTTGGCTCGCTTTTTTTGGGGTTTCTTGGAGAGGGAAGAGAGAGGGATGCGATTTGCCCGAAGGGAAAAAAGAAAGAGCCAATAAGTTGTCAGAAACTTGGTCATTAACAAATATATTTTTCTTTATTCGGCTTTGTAAGAGTAAAGCAAAGCATGTACCACACTCGGTCTCTCTCAGTCCACCACTTTCAAATAGCTCAGCCCCATTTACTTTGCCTTTCAATTATCGACTCCCCTCTTGTTCCTATTCTGATCTTTTCTTAGTCGTCTCTGATCCCGAGCAGCCCTTTTCCTTTTTCGCCCCTTTTCCTTTCTCCAGGACCCATTTGTGTTTGTTTCCCGAGAATCGAAAAACCAATTTATATTTATTTCAGATTCCCCCAATTCCCTTTTTTTTTCTTTTCAATTAGCCGCGTACTGCAGAAACTCCCCATCCCCTTTTCTTTATTTCTTTCTTTTAACTACCTAAGCAATCGAAAACAGAGAAATCAGTGCTCTGCCCCATTTGATTTTGAAAGTCTTGGTAAAGAGGAGGCTTGTTTTGTTCTCAACAAATCAAGAACCGAGAGACAAAGGGAAAGTCGTTCGATTGTGCAATTAATTTTTAGGAAATCTTTTGCTGTTTCATTAATATGGCATCCACTAAACCTGTGGGTGGAACCTACTTGTTTGTTTTGTTGTATGCAGAGTAAAAGAGGGAGGAAGATGTTTACATGCATAGCATGTACGAAACAGACAGACGAGGGGGGAGAGGATGGGGGAGGTGCGCGTGGGAGTGGCACGCCGAGTACAAAGGAAGCCGTCAAAAGCCTGACAACGCAGGTTCTTAATCCCTCCCCTCTCTATCTTCTGTCTCTTTCGTATTTCCTCTGTGTTGCTCCTTTGCTTTCTCGCTTTCTTTTCCATCTTGCGAAAACAGACAAACTCATAATACCCATTAGGCTTGCGATTAATGGGGACCATCTATTCCATCTTTTCACCAATATGAATCTGCCTATTGTTTTATTGTTTCTTTAATCCTTTCTTAGAATCAATTTTAGGTAGCAAAGAGCTTGCGTGCCACGCGCTCTAAACCTTTGTCTTTCCCCCACTTCCTGCTTCCTTCCTACGTTTTTTTTAGTTTAAATACTYTTTATGTATTTTTTTTAATTTTAATTTGTGTACTTTTATTTACCTACTTTTTATTTTGATTTATTTTAATCTATCTATTTTTTTAAATATTTATTTCGATATTTATATTTTAAAAATGACTATTTTAGTTTTTATTTGCCAATTTTTATATACAAACCAAAATAGTTTATTTAAAAAAAATTCATCGATCAAAGCCAAGGTTTATGAAATATAGATATTAAAATAAATAAAAATTAAAAATATAAGAATTAAAATAGAACTTTTTGAGGCTAATTTGATCAAAACAAAAGTACAGTAGATACCACATTTTTCAAAACACACATATTGTCATCTAGAAACTACTGATATTTTTTAACTACTAAAATTTTGTCCCGATGACTCATGAGTCTCTAGTCCACGTGGCTTTCGCGGGGACACGTCGTATCAAAAGTCTGACTTTGCTGACCTGCAGCTCCTTCTATGGCCCCCCGATTACCGATATCGAATAAAGATTCTCGTTTGTTTTTTTTCTTTCTTTCTTAATAGTTTTTATTCCCAAATGATAAAACTAGTACTATGCCCCCCTATGGAGAAGATCCCCATTCCCCACCTCGAGCCTTCCATCGAGTACGAAATATTTTGTTTGCTTTTCTCTCGGGGATTTATGAAATGGGTAATCCGATTTTCAGGGTAGCCTTTCCGATCCACTTCCTACTTTATAAATCTTCGAGTGACGCATAGTGCGTTGTTCTTTCTACAACAACTTTAAACGGTTGTCGCTAGTTTTACTCTTTTCATTTCGTGAAGGTGAAAATTGGAGGTGCGAACTTGTTGTCATGGTGGAACATTTTTTTAAGTTTTATTTTGTTAGTTATTCTTATGGTTAGTTTATTCAAAGAAATATGAGCATCCCAACGAAATGTTGCAAAAGATAGTTGAAGCTTGAACGGCATAATAATAAAATAACCCATTTTGGGATTAGGTGTTTGCCTGGTCCAGTCTGCCTTGGAAATGTGATTTGCACAAGAAAATAGTGGCAGCACATTTTGAATCAAATAGAGGTGGGGTCATTGACATATTCACTTTGGAATAGACAAGACGCATTTTAAGAAAGGACAGCCCAATGAACGCCTGAATGTGACCCACCATTGAATTTTTGTCGGTGCACTGTTTTTCAAAAGTATTGTTTCTTAACCAAGCCCTTCCTTTTGCAGGATGAGCCACCACTTGGTTGCAATAAGAAGTTAACAACTTGGACCTTTTTTCTATTGATTGCTGCTAAGGAATTTCAATTCTTATAATATTTCTCGATACGGAAGAAAATATCTTCCAAAATAACTCTAGAGTTATACATAACCCCACTTTCCCAAAACGCCATACAGTATGTTCCACGTAATTCAAACGTGGATATGCCTCTCACCAAGTAAAAATCTAGCAAATTTAATGCGTATTTCTTGATTTACAATCGTCGGACTGTGTTGTACACTTCACTGCCATTACTAAACAGTGACATGTATTGAATATTTTCTTTTTTAAAAAGGACAAAAGAAAGACATTCTGCGTTGGGTGACTCAAAAGACCACTATTTGGGAGTTTTAGCTCAATTTGAACATTTCATAGACAGTCCTAAATTCTGCTGTCTTTCTTTTTCAATTTGAATTTTTCCTCTTTCATATTCAATCGTTTGCAGTTTTAACTGTTGAAAGCTGATTTTCATAGCTATATTTTACAGATAAAGGATATGGCGTTGAAATTCTCTGGTGCTTATAGGCAGTGCAAGCCCTGTACTGGCTCCAGTAGCTACAAGAAAGGACAGCGACCTTACCCAGATTTCGACACTGCTTCAGAAGGGGTGCCATATCCCTACATAGGAGGGGCAAGTGCGAGTTCGACACCTGCCTGGGACTTCCCCCCGGTCAATCGCCACCCACACCCAAGATCTGACTCAAGATTTAAAGGGGTTTTCAGAGGTGACCAGACCCCTGGAGCCGATTCCACCATTTCGGCGTGTGACGTGGTGCTTGAGGATGAGGATGAGCCCAAAGAGTGGATGGCACAGGTGGAGCCTGGTGTTCACATTACTTTTGTGTCCCTACCCAATGGCGGCAATGATTTAAAACGGATTCGTTTCAAGTAAGATGAACAGTAAATTATATGCTTAACGCTACTGTCGATTTCTCTGTCTATAATTAACTAGTCCTTTTTGTTCTAAAAAGGGGCAACTTTTAAGCTAAAAGACTAGACTTCTCTTGGGGTGTTGTTAGTTTTTGCCATTGCGAAAGTTGACATAAGCTGCTTTTTTTGTCATTTTGAAGTCGAGAAATGTTCAACAAATGGCAAGCTCAGCGATGGTGGGGCGAGAACTATGACAGAATAACGGAGCTCTACAATGTCCAGAGATTCAACCAACAAGCTCTTCATACGCCACCAAGAACTGAGGACGGGGTAAGCCAACTACAACCTTTCCACTTGAATTCTGTTTATTCTGATTATAGTGCTGCAAGAGTGTATTTTATATCGGCAATCACGGTCAAAACGATGCTTGTTGCCACTATGGATTAACATTAAAAGAACACCTGATGTTTATGTTTATGGTAATAAATCTGTGCTTCCAAGAGCTGATTTCAGCATCAGAATACATGGAATGGCCATCTTCATAGAGATTCTTATGGTATTTATTCAGTAAACATTTGCAATCATCTTCAGGGAGATTTTTCTGATATTCTGTAAATGTTTACAATCTTCAGAGGGATTCTTCTTACTCAAGAATGGGACGGGATAGTCCGATGACTTCGGCGAACAAAGATTGGACGCCGAGAAACTATAAACCCTCTGGAAGTAAAGGTTACTTTCCATCTGATCAGCATTTTGATCAGGGAAGCAGTCACCATTATGCAGGATCAAGCGCCTATCCCGCAGGCAGCGCAAAAGGTGATATGTCATCAATGGAAGCATCACGCACGACCACCTCTTCTAGAGATGAACCTTCGGTTTCCATTAGCAATGCAAGCGACATCGAGGCAGAGTGGGTCGAGGAAGATGAACCAGGGGTGTACATTACAATCAGACAGCTTGTTGATGGCACTAGAGAGCTTCGTCGCGTCAGATTCAGGTAACAACATCTGCATTGTATTTGCATCTAAGGTAGTATTGATAGATGATACCGAAGTTGGATTGACATTTTCCGATTCGATATGAACAGCCGTGAACGGTTCGGGGAGGTGAATGCGAAGCAGTGGTGGGAACAGAACAGGGAGAGAATCCAAGCTCAATACCTATAATTTATTGATGGCAGGAACAGAAACAGGTTTAAATTACAGAGAGTTGAGGAGCACCTTCATGTCCCAAAAAGGAGTTCCAAAAATTTTGTCTTTAGAAATGTAATATTTCTCAAAAAGCCATCTCACCAACAGATACAAAACCAAATTTCTGATTTTCCTATCAGAATTCTGCAAGCCATTCTTTTATTTTCTTCCAAGGCAGATATATTTTCATCCATGTCCTTTTTTGTTTCTTCTAAATATTCATTATACAATCTATTATTATCATTTTTTTAAAGTTCTGTTGCTGTCTTTCTTATAAATATCCAAAAAGGAGTTTATGAGCTTTACCTATACAAGTTTCTTGATCGTTTGATTATTTGCAAGCCTTTTGTTTGTAACATCAAAAATGTAATTTGTGACTTGAAACCTTACCAGTTAAGCATTTTAGCAAATTGAGCTTCTTGTGATTTTAAAGTTCTCATTTCTGTTATATTTTGTTTTTAGTTTATCTCTTGAGGTAAAGTTTGAGCTATACAATATACGAGAAAGCTCTAACATTACCTATCCGTCAACAAAATTCACCTCTTATGTTAACACGAATTGCTTCAGTATATCATAAATTAGGGTGACCAAAGCTCTCAACCAAAAATCATTTTTCACTTCTCGTAGAAGGAATGTTTCAAGGATGGTGAAGCATAAAATTAAAGAAAAAAAAAAAAAAAAGGAGCACAACAATAGAATACATTTGGTCGTATAAAGCATACAAAGGTAGCTTTTTTTTTTTGAGTAAGCATACAAAGGTAGATTCTTAACAAACACTTGGGTAACTAAATCAGTGATAAAATGAGAATTCACAAAGATATTAACCACCTTGTATTGTGTGCTTACTTTGATATAAATTCTATAATTTAAATACAATTATTAGACAAAATCATTTACTATTTAAAATATTTAAGATTTTTCTGCAAGGTAATTCAAATCCACGACCTTTAAATGATATATATTTTAATGTATTTCTTACCCATTCAAGTTTCTTCAAAATGCAATTAATGATTTAAAATCTTACATGATATATATTTTAATGTATTTCTTACCCATTCAAGTTTCTTCAAAATTCAATTAATGATTTAAAATCTTACAAGTTAGCATTTTGGCCAATTGAGTTTTTGGTAGTTCTCATTTCTAATGTTATGTTTTGTTTATAGTGTGCATTAACAAGAGGCGCTTTAGTGTATATATCACATGTAAGGGTCAGCCAAAGCTCTCCACCAAAATCGTTTTTCACTTCTCGTAGAAGGTACGATGATTAGGATGATGAAGCATAAAATTTCAAACCAAAAAAAAAAACACAATGACCCAATACATTTGATAGTTCTCAGCCAACACTTGGGTGAGAATTCACAAAAATATTAACAACTTTGTATTGTGTGCTTACTTCAAAACAAAAAAGCCAGTGGCCACTATTGATATGAATTCTATAGTCTAGATACAATTGTTTGCCAAAATCATCACCATTTTTCTATGTCTGTAGGAGGGGTAATTCGATGGGCAATATTTAGAATTCTATACTTTTATCTGAAGTTACACAAAAAACCAAAAAGGAGCCTAATATAAACTATGGAACTTCAAGATCTAATACTGAAAATCTTTTATTTCATTAGGCAAACGAAGAGAACATCATCATAGATGGTAGCAAACAAGGAACAGAAAAAGACGAGTCTGCAGGTTATTATTCTTATTACACATAAAATCCCAGAGGCATTGCATAAGGTACGATAGAATTCTTCATATAACAAAGACAAAATACCATAAAGACTGACGACGTGAGGAAGGTATGTCTCATCCTGCAACCTTCCTGGAGTAATTGCTGCCATGTTGAATCTCTTGGGCGGGCCTCAGTAACAGATCGCTAGAGGATCCGCTCCAACGGACGCCCGCTTTCATCGGCCGGGGAAGCTGTCCGATAGATGGCTTGCGAGCAGCGATTGTCATGTTTGCCAACTTTTCGCCTGTATCTGAAACTCCACGCATAGTACTTCCCTTGTAGATAGAGTCTGCAATTTGCACGAGTTCAACAAAATTACAATCCACTTCATAGACTAATCTAAGCTGATAACTGAAATCGAGTATAAGTATAAAATCAGTGCTAGTAGTGTAACAGAAACACACACCATGAAACTTACTATTAGGGCTATTCCTCACAGGCGGTCGGTATTTCTGTTGTCTAACTGTGTTCTTCATAATTTTATCATTCTTATTCGCATCCTTCAAGAAAAACAATAACAAAAAGAAAAGATTAGAATCATTTTGACATTATTTTCTTTAATTTCTCTGCGTGAAGGGGCAGGAAAGGATGACAGTGTTCTCACCTGGTTGAGCAAATCCAACTTCCTCTGCACACCTGCAATATGGTTTAGAGAAATAAGTATTCGGTTCAAGATCTGATGCAGTAAAACATACAGATTCCACACCGAGGAATAAATATACTACCTGTGCCCAACAGTGCACCAGGCTGTTTTGGAGAGGAGAAATTACCAGCAACCCTTGAATCAGATAAAGTCCCAGGAAATTTTTTAGCAGTTTGTTGCTCCAGAAAATCTTTTGTTCCAGCTGCAACAGTGAAGAAAAACACTTTACAAATTTCCATATCGGAGAAAGTCCAGGTCGCAATGTTTTCTAAGATACAGGGGAAATACCAGAAGGAGTTCGAGAAATGGGGACTCTAGCACGTAGAGATGGTGGTACGTAGTAGCAACTCTGCCAAATTAAACAATATAAGAAAACCATAAATAAAATAATACAAAGTTACGAATCAAATGGATGAAAGCCAAGGGACTACTCACTTGGAAGAAGGGATGTTGGAGGGCTTCCATAGCTGTTGGTCTCTTCGAAGGATCCCATGAACAGAGTGACTGCAGACACGACAAATAAGGAGGTGCAGTATTCAAATTAAAAACACAAGCTCAGTAGTGTTGTTTTAAGAATTAAACAGTTCAAGACAAGATAGTTCAACGGCCATCCACTATTGTACTTACTGCAATAAGATTGACTGCATCATCACTGGCTGCAGGAATAACAACAGAGAGATGAACTCCACCAAACTGCATTTGTGAAACAAGCAAATACATTAAATACCAAGCATTTACATGGTTGTTCTAACAAAAGTTACAGGCAGGATAAAAAAGACAAAGAAGACAAACCTGCGGGAATTCATAACTGATATTCCTTGCAAGAGAAAGCCCAGCAGACCATGAATCCATGGTTGGGGTGCCAAGTATACTGCAAATTTTGTAGATTTGGTCTATTTCACTGCATGAGACAAATAAAACAAACTCTTGTAATAAGCTGGCAATTTCTCCTGGCATGTAGAATGAAAGGCATGAGAGACAAAGTTGGTGGGCATACCTTGCCCCAGGAAAAAGAGGACGAAGGGTAAACAACTCTGCCATGATAGCACCCATTGCCCACATATCTGGAAAAAGAATGGAAGTAGTAAGCATCAATTGGTTTAAGTTTTATTTGGAGCAGCTAAAAAGTTCCTCACCAACTTTAGGACCATAAAGATAGGACTGAAGCAGCACCTCTGGAGCTCTATACCTGAGACCCAATAATTAAAAGTTACAATATAATATTACCATGATTGGATAAAGGAAATACTTTGCAAAAAAATAAAAAACAGGCAAGGGATGAAATGGGCTTACCACCGTGTTGAAACATACTCAGTATAGGGTGGCATTGCACTAATTTCACGTGCAAGCCCAAAATCAGCCAGTTTTATTAATTCTTTAGCAACTAATAAATTTTCTGCAAAAAAGGCTCATGTTAATTACAACTCAAAAGAAACTATAGTAAGTATACTGAATAGCCAAAAAAAGGTTTAAAAAAACTAACAAGAAACATGTGATGTGGCACGAGTTATAGTGAGTTACGAAACAAACAGAAAACAAACACCATGGCATCACAAAACAAAAACATATCATCGCAAGGATGCACACACAACAAAGTATTCATTTAACATTTACCTATACCATCATACATATCATCGCAATGATGCAAACACCTTTAGAACTTGATCTAAAAAATCCTTCCAGAACCATAAAGAAAGCTACTATTCTATATTTTATCAAGTGAAATTGCACCCAAATAATGTAAAACTTCTACAGAGCATAGGAACTCAAAATAACCTAAGAAAGTATGCAAATCAAATTCAAGGTGTTTACAGTAGGTAAAATGGATGTCCAGCTCCAACTTCAGTGCATTCTACTAGACACAAAAACAATGGAGGAACGGCAAGACATAATAAATTGTTGAGCTCCCCAAACATAAAAACACAAAGATATACACTTCACATTGGTGGCACTGAAACAATGTACACCCTCATAGAGAGTTGAGAGATATTTCTAGACTGCTAATCAGTTAGCTCTTAAATCATTATAGAAATACCTGGTTTAAGATCACGATGAAAATATCCTCGCTGATGTATATAGGCAAGACCTTGAAAAACTTGAAAGCACCAATTTCTGACTTCAGTTACTGAGAAGAGCTTTTCCTTATCCTTCATAAGTTGATAAAGGTTGCATTCCTGAACATAAAAGTTGCAAGTCAAGATAAACTTTGACAAAAAAAAACATAATGAGTTGCAAAAGTATGTTACTAACCATGTATTCAAACACAAAGTACAAGATATTGTTTTCCCTGATAACTTCCTTGAGTTTCACGATATTTGGATGATTCATCTTGCGTAATGACTGTCATATTAGAATAACAAAATATTATTAATGTCTAACTAAGGAAAGAAGAATGAGGAAGTCAGAATAATTAAAAAAATCAAGAATGCATCACCTTTACTTCTCTCAGATTGACACACTCCTCCCAAGTGTAATATTTTTTCTTCATTTTCTTAATCGCAACCTGGTGATTAAAAGGATCAGATTATTAATCTTTTCTCATGATACAAGCATGGAGAGAGAAAATCAGGAAACCTACAACTTCACCAGTCTGCTTATTGATAGCTCGCCAGACACTTCCAAAAGTACCATCACCAACTTCCTTGATTAACATGTACCTTTAAAATAATTACAAAATTGACAAGCATAAATAAAGTAATAAAGCCATCAAAGCACATTGTACAACAAAATGAGTGGAAAATAGTTCAGCTATGGAAACCAACCGACCTCTCCATTTTTCTTGCAGAAGCACAAAGACAACCTCCTTTATTCAAAAGAGAGAGAGAATCTTGAATTGATAACTTGCATTTATCTTTGTACAAAGACTAAATGTAAACAAATGTCTTGCACTGATCTAGCAAAAACCACCACTAATTTTTCATGGTGAAATGCAGAAGTACAAAACCAGAGTAATTCTGATGTGCAGGCTGTGCAGCTTTATTCATTACAATATCCACAGCTTCAACTTCAAGAAAGGAACAAGATCAGGAATTATTACAAATACCACAGAACATGTTGAATCTTGAGAAGAACTGTCCAAACCAACTGAGCAGTTGGAAATACCTGAAGTACGAGACACTCTCCCTGACGTTGACAACCTTAAGTTGCAGCTACCTCATAATTCAACATAGAAATGGAAGATAGATCCTCCAGTAAGCAATGTCATGACTCTCTAAACATCACCCATCAGTAACAAAGATAACGAACAAATAATAAAAGCTTGACCAACAGAGGTCAAAGCAATGGTCTTGACTTTTGGTAATTGTGAAAACAAGCTTCAATGTTTCATCAACAGAACTCAGCTCTGCAGGGGAAAAAACTGAGGTTAGCATTGCATAAAACAAATTAACAAGAAAAATCAAAAGAAGGAAAGTAAATTTTTCATCATACCCCTGCAGAAGTCTCCCCTAGAAAATCGTCTGGATGATGCATCAACAACGCTCTGGATACAAAATAAAATAAAAAGAGAGAATATTATGATTAAATGAAACTAGATATCAAAATTCTCACAAAAAAGTTATCAAATATAGTCCTTACTTGAACAGTTGCACTAAGGATCCAACACCTATCTCACAAAATAATTTCATTACGCCTCCTGTGCTGATCATTTAGAAGAACTTGACCACTAAGTGCAATTGACAAAGGAAACCAAAAGAAAATCTCCAAGAACAAGGAAACGCCAATCAAGCACTTCCTGGAAAGAACAAACACGATGCTGGAAGGAATTTGTCCAAATAGAAGCAAGCTCCATATCTTGAGGAAATTTAGAAATCCCTTTATATCCAAGCCCTCAAAGACCTGATATATCACAATACCACCAATGAATAAAAAAAAAAAAAAAAAACCACTACGGAAGATAATAAGGTGCCATTTTTAAAAGGACCAAAAAAGCTTCCCATATGACATGTTAAATCAATAATGAAACAACATTTGAAAGGCGCATAACCCATGCTGAACAAATTAGGCCAAGAAACCCTAAAACGAAACTAATGATATAATTTCTATAATCCACACACCAGGCTCCAATTTATTAGATCCTAAAAATCATAAACAGCTCCTACCAGGTGCCCGAATATGATCACCATACACAAATAATTGCAGCAGTCAAATCAAGAAGCAGAAAATCTTAAACATGAACAATTATGCAAATACTACCAACACCGGCATGGACAATTCAACGACGCATCCCAGCGATTTAGAAGCCCAATTTAAATAATCCCAAATGTAAACATCAAATACGCATCTCGTGCTCATGGAGGTGGAAACCGTAATTCATCTACGGACTAGTCGATAGACAAACGAAACAAACAGCATCACAAAAAGAATCAGCGATGAACGAATCATGAAAATTAAATCCGGCGACAAAGAAACCTAAACCCTAACACTGAATCCGATCAATTAATTTGTCGATCGAAGAACATCGTACATCAAACGTTTGGGGAAAACAAAAACAAAAACAAAATAAAAGACCTAGACCGATTCAAGAACATAAATATAAATCTTTAAAAAACAAAACAAAAAAAATCGATACCAGAAAATCAAGAAGCATAACCTCCGTCGCCAAGAACGGGAAGAGATGGGATCCAGAGCTCCCCTCGATACTCTTCCTCCCTCAAATCTGCGATCTCCAAGACACGAAGAAACCAGACGCGTTCCCCAAATACCCAAAAAAACACAGAGATCTTCGCTGCGTGCCAACCAAGGTAAAGATACCTAATTTCCCATTATGACCCACACCGATGCGCTATTTATATACCTCCGGTTTTGATTCTCTACGGCCGTGCCCACGGGCTTCCCAATTAGTTATCGGATTTGGACCGCAATGATAGGTTGGTTAGTGCCACTTGCCAGCTATCCAGTGGCCCCCTCGATATTAATTAAACCATTAATTGTATTTTTTACTTCGGTATTCCTTTTTTTGACTTAACTTCTTGATATTTATTGCCTTTTTCTTTTATTATTTACCTTTTTTTCACCTTTTCGAATGCTTGTATGTCTGAAATTCCTTTTCTAGCCCTGTTTGATTTTTCAGTTGGTAAAATATAAATTTAATTTTTTTTTAATTCACCCACTATAATCAAAACAGTACTAAATTACTTGTTGAAACCTTCCATTCCTAGGAAATGGGTAAAATGTCTTTAACCCCTAAGTTAAGATTTTTTTTTTTTTTTGAGATAGAAACTAAGGTGTACTTAACATCAATTCCGACCCTATATTTTTGAATTTTTTATTTTTTTAATTAAAAAAATGTGTAGGAGTGTCGAACTTCTTATCTTCTTGGTTGAAAATATATTGAGCTATATTTAAGTTGATAAATTTTTTACTTTTATTTTTAGTTGAACCTCACTTATTATCATTATAAATGACTTACTATATTGAATATGCGACCAATTTTTTTATTTACAATATAATATAATAAGATTATATTTTTATTTGGTTAATTGTGTCAGTGGACTAGCTACATCATAATAGAGAGAATTAGTAAATTTTTATGTAGGGTAAAAAATAGTTTATTGACCCTTTGTGTTAGTATAGGTACTAAATTGGCAATTTAACCTAAAAACATGAGGTAGGACATGTTTCAATGGAATTTTTTCTTTTTTCTTTTGAGGATATATTTTAATGGATATAAAGCATTGAAAATGCTGAAAATAAGTGAGTATTTGTGGGAAGATAAAAAAGGTTGGTTATGAGAATCTAGAAAAATGATTGGTGAAAGCAAGGGAATCTTACTTTGTAATATATATTCGAATACCAAATTGGGTATGAAATGATAGATATTGTTATTGATAAGGATGTTACATAATCACAAAATATATAACTCATGCCATCCAAACTATTATTAATTAGTTCGTATCTTTCTACCTCTCTACCTCTCTCTTTTTCAAATTTTAAGTTTTCAAAATACTAATATCTTAGAAATGAGATGAGTAAATTTAAATAGACGTTAAGAAACATCGGTACATTAGCTTCCACTTTTGTCGAAAAAGGAAAAAAAAAGATCGATGGATAGCCATTTTTTATCTATATTCGATATATATATATATTTTTTTTCAAATTTAATCACATTCGTATCTAATAAATATGTGAACTCTAAAAAGTATTGATTAGGTCGAGTATCGAAATATAAAATTAAAAATTCAAAGATCTATACTCAAAATTAAAAGTTTAAAAATATGTTAAACATCTTTTAAAGTATGATACACACTTGAAATTTCACAAACTAAAATTATCATTTAACCTTTAGATTTTTAAAAGGATTGTTTATCATAAAGTAAATATTAGATTAGATTAATGCGTTGTGATTTGGAATGTGACACGGAGGATTATGTCGGGTGAATAAAATAATTGTGGGCAAACAATTATTTTTTTAAAAGATGTATTATGCCCACATACTCTATCCAACTTGTTAGTTCACTAAAGACCTAACAATAACATAAAACGTGTAAGGTCCAAGGAGAACCACAATAGATTTACTAGAGAACCACAAAATTACCTTAAATTTATATCAAGTAGTTATTAGGACATAAAGATTTTTGAAATCTACATCGACCAAGGATTATTAGTTGTAGCTACATTGTGACAACCTCGTTCAATAATTTTTTTGGGGCGGAGATGCATCTCCGAAGTTGAACCAAGAGATTCCTAATTTCCATTTTCTTTGGTACTCCATTATATTGAGAATTCTTTCATCCTTTTTTAACCTTTTATTGAAGGAATCTGAATGATATTTTTAATGATAGAGGGATAGAAAAAGGCATAGCATCCAATCCTAATTTTAATAACTTTACCAACTTGATTATCTGTTCAAAAATATTCAGAGGGATATTGGTGACTGAATTGAACGTTCAAGAGAACAAAGTTTCCAGAATGATGGGAGAGAAAAAGTTGAATTATAAATATATAGTCTTAATTTAGGATTAAGTAAAAAACTAAGACAGGTTAGTTTTTAGTTGATAAAAGAAACTTAGGGACCAATTGTAAAGGTTTGGCCAAAAATAAGAATCAAATTAAACCTTTAAAATATAAGACTAAAATTAGACTCGCCAACATCAACTTAGCTCAACGATAATTGACGCATGCATCTGACCAAGTAATCATAATTAGAATTCTTTAATACAAAGTTAATGACTAAGTTTAAAAAAATTTAGTGCGTAAAATGTCATGTTAAATTAGGATCGAAACAAATAAGATAAAAATAAAAATGAAGGGACCAAAATTGTCAATTTTTAAATGTACCTGAACGAAAAATTGATGTTTCGAAAGTACAAAAACTAAAATAAACCAAAGTTGAAAATATATTGACCAAAATAGATATTTTAAACCAAAGTCAAAACATAATAGTATTTGAAGTTAAACAAAAAAATTAAAAAGGATAAAATACATTTCTCGTACCTGATGTTTGGACTTTGTTTTTATTTGGTCATTGTTCTTATCGAAAAAGTCGATAGTCACAATAGATCCTCGAGAACACTCTAGAATTAAAACCTGCAAAAACAAGTCAGCACTCCAATGATCTAGTCAGTCTTTATGCTTAAAAATAATAGAAAAGTATGTCTTTACCCGTTTTTGCATACCAGATTTATTTGTCTCCATGGTATTTATAAGAAAATGGAGAAAGTAACCGTTGTGGATTATGATTCCCCATTTGAATATAACGGTTCCAACTCCAGAGATATAGGAAAATTGCATGTTGAGTGGGAGAACAGTTTGACCACCACGTGAACGTGGATAGCGGAATAATCGTTCGGCTGGATGCCCAATTCGGTTAAACGTCTAGTTCGATTGTGATTCGACCTAATACGGTTTACTTCCACTGAGTGTTCTTCCTTGTGATTAAGTTGACACAGTGACGTGTCCTTGGAGACCGAAGGTTAAGCAGTCACTTATTTTAAAAATCCATCATTTTTAGTCCATACCAAATAAAAACCAAAGTCCAAATATTGATTAGAAATGTATTTTAATTTTTACCTAGTTAAAAAAAAAATAAAAAGTTTCATGAGAGAGATTGGCACGAGTAACGAGCAAGCGAAGGTTCCTCCGGAAGGTGGTGGCACCACGTAATTACTACTTTTAGGCACACGCGTCGCCACTCTTTCGAAATCAATTTCTACACTAAAGTTTTTATTTTATCAAATTAAACATAAATTCAATAAATGTAATACCAAAAAAAAAACATAAACAATTAATTATTGCAATTTTTAACTGTCTTTTTTTTTAATATCAACTTCTTTCTTTCTTAGAGTACTTTAACCCATGTACTAAAAACTTTAACCCGTTGTAATTTTTACCTTCTAATATACTTTCATTCAAATAATTAATAAAATATATACATATAATCGTGTGCATTTAATTAATTATTTATATATGTGTGTCCCAGTTTGAAGATACCAAATTTTTGAAGGGAACATAAACAGTTTGAAATTTCGTAAAGGTCAAACTGATATAATGTCGTTGGTCGTCGAGAACTTACTAAAGATTGAGCCAACAAATGAAGATCTCAATAGCTCACCCTCGTACGAGATGAGCAGAAGGTCAGTGTATTGTTTGTCACGAACCTACAACTGTTTATCCAACAACGCGTCATGATTTATGGGGCGGTCGTAATCGTTCCTAGGTGATGTCCTAAAACTAAAGCCTATAAATAGAGACCACCAGTTCATTTCTCAGGTACGTTAAATTATCCTTACACTGAGTATAGATCATATTTGAATTGACTTTAGCATCTAAGCTTTTTCCTTTATCTATGTAGGTTTCGTCGTTCATAGGCCATACCTGAGTCCAAACTTTACATATTTGGCCAGTTTTCTAATAATATATATCGATATATATAATTTTTAAGTAAACATCCATTAATATTTTAAACGTTGAATTAACGTTGTAGAATATGTAACAACTTAGCAATTAACAACCCAATTTTACCTTAAAATGTCTTCTTTCTCCATTGTCTACCCAATTTTATTATAATCCCCCGTTTAAAAACGATAGCTTCTTCCACATATCCTTTCTTTTTAAATTTGTCAAGCTTCCATATTAATTGTCAGGTAAATCCATATTTTTTTAGGTCAGCTTTTCATTCAAAATATTAATGAATGCTTGTTCAAAATGTATTTTTAAAACGTTTAAAAATGATCAATGGTAGTATTGAAGCTTTTACAAGGAGGTTTAGGACCCACTTTATTACCGAGTCTCATATTTAATTAATTTAAAATATTTGGAAGTCATGGTTCCTAATTTATAAACATTGATGTCATTGAAAATTAGAGTGGGTTTTGGAGTAGTTTTGATTCTTTGTCATTTTTTAAAATCACTTTTATTTTATTGTCAAACATTAAAACATGTTTGAAAGTGATTTTTCATGATCAAAATCATTTTTGTCTATCATCGAAATTGTTTTATTTAACATTATAATATTTAACATAATATTTGATAATGTCTACAACAATACAAGTTATTTATAATGTTTTTGAAGTGACTTTTTCTTTATAGCAAGTTTTTAAGTGATTATTATTCAATAATTAACAAAATGCATATTGGAGTATAAATGAATAATGATTTAAATCATCTTATTTTGCTTATTCAACTTTTAAAACCTATTTCCTTTTTATTTTTGAACTTTTAAATTTATTCAACTTTATTCTATAAACTTTCAAAATATAGGTTTAATTTAATTCTTACCGTTAGGTTGCAGTCTCGTTGGATCGGTGACAAGTGAGA